CCAAGGATCTAAATTAGCTGGCATCCAGATCATGGGAATTCACAGCCTCTAGAACTGTGAAAAATAAATATCTGTTGTTTAAGCCATCCAGTTTATGATATTTTGTTATGGCAGCCTCAACTGAGTAAGACAGATAGCATTCACTTATTTGCATATGAATATTCCTGTATTAAATTCAAAGAAATAAAACTCTTTTCAGTGCTTTACATATACTTTCACCTGGTAGAAGATACTAATGGCCTCTGTACCATTTTCAAAAGTGTTTACATATACTTTCTTCTTTTGACCCATAAAAACAACCTTGTGAGATATACAGGCTATAGATTATTACCCCCATTTTATAGACAAAGAAACATAATACAGTCAGAAGTTAAGAGGTCATATCAGTGATAACAGAAGCCATTTCTGATCAATCTAATGAAGTTTTTGATAATTCCTGACTTGTCTCGCCAAAACAATCTCATGTACCTGACTTTATGCAATTAACTTTTTAAATAACACCAGAAAAGGATTCAGTAGGATACTGTTTAACTATGAGCATAATATTTTTCTCAGTATTAAAGAGAGTAAAACTAAAGCTTACTCACCAAGATGTGAGTAAGCTTTAATTTAAACTCCAGTACAAGATAAACATGTGGCCAAAGCTAGCTCCTGGCGATGTTCTACCATGATCTGCTATAAACAGATTTGGACCCAGAGAATGTAGACAAAAAATAGAGAAACAAGTGTGCAAAAGCAGTTTAAATTTTTCAATTAGTATGTGAAACCAAAGAGTAAGGGTGGTTGAGTATGATACAAATTGTCCCTACTGAAATTATTCTACTATGTGCTTCCATTTCATTTCACAAAAACTTTTCTGTTCAAATGTGGATAGCCTTAAGGATACATTATCCAGAAGAATTATCCAGAATTCTATCTGGAATGAGTTATCTATATGCTGCTGTTATACTTTAGAGCCACATTTTTAGAAATTAATGTATAAGTCTGTTGTAATTCTTTGAATATCCTCAGAGATTAAAATCTTTGGTTTCGGAAATAGTCATATCATCTGAATAAATAAAGGTGAATAAACCAACTAGGTAATTCTGCTTAAGGTTAAAATAATAAATGTGGCTATAAAATAAAGAGACTTCTTATATGGCATCTACAAACTAACTCCTCAAACACATAATGCTCTTTCCTACCTCAGAACCTTTGAACAACTGCTTCCAGTTCTTGGAATTTTTTTATAGCATGCTCTCTTTCACTCATAAAAGAGTTGTGTCAATTAAAAGAGGTCTTTCTTGAACACCCTAATGCCAGAGTGGTCTAGTTATATATCCACATTTGTCTAAATCAGTGTCGTGTTTGTTTCTCCAATAACAGTTATCACTGTTTATTAATTTTTAAAATTATTACTGTTTTTGTCTCTTCCTCTCAACCTATGCTATCCAATACAGTAACCACTAGACACATGTAGCTATTTACATTTAAATTCAAATAAATTATAATTAAGTAAAATTAAATTTAAAAAAAATGACCAGTCAGATTTCATGAAAATTAAGAACTCTGTTCTTTTAAAGATGCTGTTAAGAAAATAAAATGACAAAGCACAGAATAAGAGAAAATATTTTCAAAGTACATATATGATTAAAGACTTGAATCCAGAAAATATAAATAAATCTCAACACTCAGTAAGAAAACTAACAACTCAACTAAGACTGGGCACAATATTTGAAAAGGCACTTCACTAAAAATAACATATGGATGTCAAGTAAGCACATGAAAAGATGCTCAGCATCATTAGTCATTAGGGAAATGAAATCAAAATCACAATGAGATATACTTTATACCCTCTAGGATGGCTATTACCAAAAAGACAGATAAGAAGGGCTGGAGAAGATTTGGAGAAACTGAACTCTTTCTACAATGCTGGTTATATATAATTCAAATGATATATAACAGTTTCTTAAAAACTTAAACTGTTAAACTAAAATATGACCCAGCCATTGAACATCCAAGTATTTACTCCAAAGAAATGAAAGCACAAATCCATATAAAACCTTGTATATGAACATTCACAGCAGCTTTGTTTGTATAGCCAAAACCTGGAGCCAACCCAAATACCCATTAATAGGTGAATGGATAAACATACTGTTGTTTATCCATATGATGGAATATTTCCTAGCAATGAAATAAACTACAAATACACACAAAAACAAGGATGAATCTCAAAATAATTATATTGAATTAAAGAAGCCAGACCCCCCCCCCAAAAAAATACACAGCATGATTCCATTTATATAAAATGCTTGAGAGTGCAAATTAATATATAATTGCCTAGGAATAGGAAGAGAACAAAAGGATTAGAAAGGGACATGAGGAAACTTGGGGGGGGGTTGTAAAAAATATGTTCATTATCTTGATAGTGATGATGGTTTCACAGGTATATACATACGCCAAAACTTATTGATTTATATACTTTAAATATGTACAGTTTATTATATGTCAATTATAGCTCAGTGAAGCTGTTAAAAAATTTTTAGTTCCTCAGTTGTATCAGCCACATTTCAAGTGCCTAGTAGCCACATGTAGTTAATAGCTATCGAATTAGATATTATAGATAAAGGGTAGTCCCATCATCACAGAAAGTTCTAGCCAACAGTGATGCTCTAGACCAGGGGTCAGCAAGCTATACACCGGGACCCACTACCTGTTTTCTAAATGAAGTTTTGTTGGGACAGTTACACCCATTCATATATATTGTCTCTGGCTGCTTTAGCACTATAATGGCAAAGTGGGTAGCTGCAACAGAGACCTTATAGTCTATAAACCTAAATTATTTACTATCTGGTCCTTCAAGAAAAGGTTTGCTGATCCTGCTCTGAATCACAAACTCTGAACGCAGGGGCCATATCTGTCCAGTTCACTGCTGTACATGATCCAAATAATATTGAGTACTTAATATACAGCACTGTCTGAGGCACCAGGGAGGCAGCCTTGAACAATACAGGTAAGGTCCCTATTCTCATGGTTTTCACAATCTGGTGAGGGGTTCAAGTAACATAACAAAGAAGTAAGTAAGAAAATATCAGGCAACGAAAATATCAGGCAATGCTAAGATGAAAATAAAACAGAAGGTATAGAGATGATTAAGGGGCAACTTCCATTTAGGTTGTCAGGACAGGCCTCTGGGAGGACCTAAGATCTGAACAATATGAAAGAGTCATCACTGCAAATATCTGTGGCAGGAGCAGAGGGAACAGCAAAACCAAGGCCTCAGTATATGAATTTGATGACTTGATATTGGAAAAAGAAGGCCCACATGGCTGGAGAATATACAATCAATTTGGAAAAGGTAGATGAGTTTGAAGAAGTAGAGAGGGCTAAGAGAAGGTGTCTGAATTTTATTTCATATATGATGGAAAGCCACTACAGGATTTTAAGTAGGTGAGCAACATGACTGATTTACATTTTTAAAGATCACTTTGGTGCGGCTAAATGGGGACTGGGTTCGGGAAGAGTAAGAAATGTGTTAAAAGTTAGGGAATTTTTGCAAAGGTACGAGAGAAAGATGGTAATTTGGCTTGGACTACAGTGTCAGCAGTGGAGATGAAGTAGAAGAATTCAAGATATGTTTGAAGTGATATTTGACTGAACTTTTCAATGGTCGTTGTAGAGTGAGGAGTTGAAGATGAATCCTAGATTTTTTGCCTTGAACAACTGGGACACAGTAGTATGAATTATTGATATGGGGGACATTATAGATAATAAGAGCTAATATTTAGCGAGGGCTTATTATGTGTCAATATTCACTTAATTTCACATGTAATTTTTGCAACAATCTTGAGGAGGTAGGTATTACTGTTATTTTCATTTTACCAATAAGAAATTGAAAAGGTTAAGTAACTTACCTAGGTCAGAAAGCTAGTACCAATACAACGGAGATATGAACCATAAGTCATCATACTCTAAATTTCACCACACTGTATATAAAACTACTTCTAGGCAGTGGCAGTACCACTGAACAGACTCCCAGGATGACTAATTTGAAAGATATTATTGAAGATCACCTTATTTTCACAGACTACAAGATATTAACTTTTCAAAGCACTCTCTCCAGTGTTATGTCTTTGATTCCCATTTTATAAATGAGAAAACTGAAACAAGTTAAATGATTTTCTCAAGATCACTGAGATATTAATAGAGCTAGAACTAAAAGCTAAGTGAACTTATTCCATACAGTGGTCTAGCCAATAAACTTGCCTTTGAAAATTTTGATCATTCAGTTAGAAACACATTTTACATCACTACCCAAGATACATATACATATATGGAACAGAGAAAAAGAATTATATCAAACAACTCTCACCCTTACTAATGTACTCATATTTTCTTTCCTATTTCATTTTTTAAAGTGTTAATTGTATCTGGCAATTTAAACAATATTGACCCAAGCCTTAGCAATTGACATTACAACCACATAAGTAGACTTTTTTTAGAAATGCCTCATGACTCTCTAAGACTACCAAGCACCAAAAAGGCAAAATGAAGCACACTCAAAAAATCAACCTGGTGAGTATATAAGATACACAAAGACTGATTCATAAGGGTATAAATGGCAATGATTCTACGAGCTACTCTTTGGAAATATTATTACTTTCTATTGCTAATATGGAGGTCTGAAATCAAACAGATATGCCTAGTAATATTTAAAATAAGGAGAGATGCACTTTTCTGGAAAAAAAAACAAACATTTAAAGCAAAATAATACGTTCTTCAACCTCACTCCTACCACAAAGCTGTAGAAAGACTACATTTGCAAAATATATTTCCTTAAAAAAAAAGAAAGAAAGAAAAGAATAAGGAAAAGACTAGATTGGTAATGTAACCCATTATGGTTTATAATGAAGGACAACATCTTAAGATGCAAAGCAAATGGCAAAATGGCTTAAGATGAATAGCAAACTTTCATTTATGAGGCAAGTACTACCTTACAAACGATCAATCCATTCTAACACTTTCTCCCTTTGCCAGTACGCTTAAGCTTAATTACTCTTAGTAAAAAAAGGAAGAGAACTGTTCAGGAATATAAATCTTTCATGTTTCCCAAGTTTACAAGGATGAAAATTCCTTTAAAATCTATGTCAATTACTGAACATTCATTTACCTTGACAAATGTAATGATAACCTGGTAGATACACACACACACACACACACACACACACAAACACACACACGCATGCACACACAATCCCTGCATCTCTGAAGGGGAAAGACGACAAGGACAAACCGAAGCCTCAATACATCAAAGGCTCAGCTGGCACCACAACTGATACATCATGTTCACTCCTAGATGGCTCCGCGACACGGCCAAGGGCCTTGAGAGTTCATACTCTTCTATACTCGGCGCACCGATCTTACCTGTCTTCAACTGACCTCTAGCCAACCCAAGATGCTGGTGGGAAGAGTCGTGAAAGGCAGTAAGATCCGGACAATCAGGGAGCCTGTGTAACCCTCTAAGGCTCTAATGATATAAATGCAATGCATGAATATTTATTTTAAAAAAAAAGAAGAAGAAGAATTAGATGATCCTTCTAATCCCGATTTGTTTCCAGAGAAGGTGGAAGAACACCACCAGGAAACAGAGCAAAAACGGCCAAATATCAGAAGGTCTCGGGGGGAGGGAGGGAGCGAGAGCAGACATGACTAGAAACACCCAAATCAATTCCTCAGAGAGAACAGCAGAGGCCGGCTGCTGGCGGCCACGTGCACTTGCTAAGGGAACCTTTCCAAAGAAACCTGACCCGATTGGAATCAGCACGCCGCACGGCGGCTGCGTTTATCGTAACGGAACGCTACAAGTTGTTGCCCGCATCCCTCCTCCCAGCATTGACAGGGAACACCCGCGCCGCCCCCAGGCCCACAGGGACGTCCCGACCCCTCTCTAGCCTCACCAAGTCCCTAGGGTAAGGGGTGGAGCGCAGGGCGAAGGCCCCTCGCCCTGGCTCTCGTGACCCTCCACCGCAGCCCACCGACCCCACCCAGCCCGGTTCTAGGCGGAACCAAATCTCCATGTCCCCGCGGTGACGACTGTTAGCATCCAGAGCATACCTACTAGTCTGACCACCACCACCACCTCAGAGACCTGGAGTCGTTCCGGGAGCGCTGCGTTGGGTGCAGTAACCCTCACATCACCCAAGCCCTCCCCACCCACCCCAAATACAGCCGAGCTGCCACGCCACCAAGTCCAGGTGAGGGGCCTGAGCCCCGCAGGCGCCGCTGCCCGGCCGCCTACCTTCCTCATCGCTGGTTGTCGGGCCCCGCCGGACGCCGTCAGCCCTCACGACCTAGGAGCTGACCCCGTCAAGAGACGGTGAGCGTCCGAGGCACCTCGCGGGGGACTAGGGGCCAGGCATCCAGAGGGGCCAATGCCCCAGTGCGGGCTCTCGCCCCCCGGCTGGGGAGCGGCGCTGCCCGCCGACCCGCGGCGTATGGAGCCTGGGAGGGAGGGTGCTGGGTCCGATGGGTGAGTGATTACGACTCTAGGCGCGAAGAAAAGGGGGTGGTTTGAGAGACGGCGGTGTCGCTGGGCGGGTACGGCGGGACTGTCCTAAGACTAACGCAGCGGGCCTCGAGCCTGGAGCGTTAAATCCCCGCAGCGTCCGGCTCGCGCGCGGCGGTGGCGGGCGCGGAGAGCGAGCGCCGGGAGCGGGTCTGCTGCTGCTGCTGCTGCTACGGCGGCGGCGGCGGCGGCAGTGGCAGCGGCGGGCGCGGGGTCCAGCTCGGCATCCTCACCTTAGTGCCGGGGCCTCCTGCGATCCGAGACACTCCTGTCAGGGAGGAGGAGCGTCCCGGGTGGCCCCCTAGAATCTCTTGCTGGGGGGACATCGCTTCCATGAAGAAGATTTTCAAGCAAATCCCAGCCCAGGAGGCTACGTGGTCATGTCCGCGGGACGGCGGCTGGTGGGGCGAGGACGCGCGGCGCGGAGGCGCCTGCTGCGCTCAACTAGGGAGCCGGGCTCCGGGTGCCGGCAGCGCGCCTCCCGTCGGAGCCATGTACCACTGCCTGCGTCCTGCACCGCAGGCTGGAGGCGATTGCAGCAAGGCGACAGCGGGTCCGCGCCGCGGCTCGCCCTGCCTCGGGCCCGCCCCCTTTGCGCTGAGCTCCGGGCGCCGAGACCCGCCCCCGGCAGTCCTCCTCCAGCCTCAGCCCTCCCCGCGGTGGCCCCCGCCTACGGCGCGCTGGGCACGGAGTGTTTCTGTATATATGTTAGGGAACAGGCGACTGACTGACCTTCTCAGTTTGACACTCCCAGTGGGTGCAGCCCAAAGGAACTCTCGGGTTTGTGCCACGAACCCGGGCCTCCACTGCACAGACACGCTCCTCTCCCGCCGTCCAGCCCACTCGCACAGACCCCATCCCTTCCAGTGCTGCGCCCGAGGCGAAGGCGCTGCTGCAGCGCATTCATCAGCGCAGCTGTGGCGACCTCAGCCTGAACGGAGGAGTTGCAGTGATTCCTGCCTCGCTTTCAGCAGACTGCAGAGGGGTCCTCCCACCCCCATTCTGGAGGCCTCGGGATGGGGTTGCACATCGCGGAGTGCCGCGGGTGTACATGTTTGGCAGCCCGCAGCATCTCCTGACCTCTTGTGCAATCTCGAACGTTAACCTCTTTGGGTCACCCTCCTTGGCTTCTGAAGCCGCGGGTCAGCAGCCCCCTCACGGTTTGCACCATTGGTTTCCGCTGTCTGCGGGCAGCAAAGACTGGGGCATTCCAAACGTGAAAACGCACTGAAGGAAAATGCTTGCAGAGAGAGGACTCTGAAATTTGGCATAGCTACTGAGCAGTCTACAATATGTGGAAGTGTTTATCAGATATCTGCGCTGAGAGCATAACTTCCTGTTAGCCCAAATGGCAATTTTTTTAAAGGCCAAAGAATAATCAGAGGGAGGGGATAAGGAATCGACAAGGGTTGAGCATTGCTGCACTTTGCAGGACTGGCTGACTGGTGCTGATGATTCAGTAGGTGGCATTCTTCCCTTGGAGTCAGGACTACATAAAGGGGAGATTAGTCGTGAAGGACAACACTCTATGATACCAGGTTGTTGAAGGAGGTCTGTTTTTTTTTTCGTGGTAAGGAAAAAAAAAATCGAGGTTCCTGCCGAGTTGGGCTGTTATCAGGACAGGTTGTAAAAGAATAGGGCTCTGGCAGGCTCTATTCCAAGCAGGAGATGCTGTCCAAAACACACACATACATATACACACACCCACACACCACCATAACCACCAAAACCCAGAATTGTTTATTGTGGAAGTAATGGGGAGAAAATGTCCCAGCCCATTTTAAGCCTTGTCTACATCGCATTGTTTAAAGTAGGCTTACGCAAATCATGCATATATATGTATATATATACACACACACACATACACATATACATATAAAATTATATAAATCATGCTATTATAGAAATCATATATCAATCGTCTTTTTGCTGCTTACAACCACAATTGAGATTTTTGTGAATTTTATACTGCAGAAGGCTTTGAAGTTCCTTTCATTTGTCGTTGAAGTCATCCTATTATAATTCTTATCATGACTGGATGATCTCAATTTTCCTTACCCTGCTTGATTTTACTATTTATTTATTTATTTTCAAATACAGTTGACATCCAACATTATTTTATATTATTTTCAGGTGTACAGCATAGTGGTTAGACATTGTATAATTTATGAAGCAATCCCCTGATTAGTATAGTACCCACCTGGCACTATTTATAGTCCCTACAATATTATTAACCACATTCTCTATGCTGCACTTTACATCCCCTTGATTATTTCATAACTACCAATTTGTGTTATTTAATTCCTTCACCTTTTTCACTCAGCTCTCCAGCTCTCCCCTGTCATCCATCAACCATCCATTTGTTTTCTGTATCTATGAGTTTGTTTCTGTTTTGTTTGTTCGTTTATTGTGTTCTTTAGATACACATATAAGTAAAATCATATGGTATTTGTCTTTCTCTGACTTATTTCACTTAGCATATTACTTTCCAGGTCCATCCATGTTGTCACAAATGGTAAGATTTCACTCTTTTTTTATGGCCAAGAAATATTCCATTGTATGTATGTTCCACATCTTTATCCAGTCATCTATTGACGGGCACTTAGGTTACTTCCATATCTTGGCTATTGTAAATAATGCTGCAATGAATGTAGGGGGTGTATATATCTTTTTAAATTAGTGTTTTAAATTTCTTCTGATAAATACCCAAAAGTGGAATTACTGTGTCATAAGGTAATTCTATTTTTAATTTTTTAGGAATTTCCATAGTGTTTTGCATAGTGGCTACACCAGTTTGCAATCCCACCAACACTGCACGAGGGCTCCCTTTTCTTTACGTCCTCACTAACATTTGTCATTTGTTTATTGATTATAGCCATCCTGACCAGTGTGAGGTGATATCTCATTGTGGTTTTTATTTGCATTTCTTTCATGATTAGTGATATTGAGCATCTTTTCATTTGTCTGTTGGCCATCTGTATGTTCTCCTTGGAGAAATGTTTATTCAGGTACTTTGCTCATTTTTAAATTGGATTGTTTTGGTATTGAATTGTATCAGTTCCTTATAAATTTTGGATATTAACCCCTTGTCGGTTATATCACTGGTGAATATCTTCTCCCATTCAGTAGGTTATCTTTTCATTTTGTTGATGGTTTTCTTTGCTGCACAAAACCTTTTTAATTTGATGTAGTCCCATTTGTTTATTTTTTCTTTTGTTTCCCTTGCCCGAGGAGATTTATAAGAAAAAAATTGTTACTAGGAGCAATTATAGAGAGTTTACTGCCTATGTTTTTTATCTAGGCATTTTAGTTTTGGGATCTTACATTTAAGTCTTTAATCCTATTTGAGTTTATTCTTGTATATGAAGTAAGAAGGTGGTCTAGATTCATGTTTTTGCATGTATCTGTCCAGTTTTTCCATCATTTATTGAATAGATTGTCTTTAACCCATTGTATATTGTATCCTTTGTCATATATTAAATGAGCATAGAGATGTGGATCTATTTCTGGGCTCTCGATTCTGTTTCATTGATCAATGTATCTGTTTTTTATGCCAATACCATGCCATTTTGATTACGGTACACTTATAGTACAGTTTGATATCTGTAGAGTGATATTTCTAACTTTGTTCTTCTTTTTAAGATTGCTGTGGCCTTTCTGGGTCTTTAACGGTTCCATATAAATTTTACTATTATTTGCTAATTGGTATTTAGTAGTGATTGCCATTGGTATTTAGTAGTGATTGCATTGAATCTATAGATTGCTTTGGGTAATATGGGCATTTTAACAATATTAATGTTTTCTATCCATGAGCAAAGTATACATTTCCTTTTATTTCTATCTCCTTCAGTTTCTTTCTTCAATGTCTTATAATTTTCCCAGTACAAATCTTTTACTTCTTTGGTTAAATTTATTTCTAGGTATTTTATTTTATTTTTCTGATGCAATTGTAAATGGGATTGTTTTCTTAAGTTCTCTTTCAGATAATTCATTATTGGTGTATAAAAATGTAAACTATTTCTGAATATTAATTTTGTATCCTGCTACTTTACTGAATTCATTTATCAGTTCTAATAGGTTTTTTTTGGTGGAATCTTTAGGGTTCTTTATATATAGTATCATGTCATCTGCAAATAATGACAGTTTCAATTTTTCTTTTCCTATTTGGATGCCTTTTATTTCTTTTTGTTGTCTGATTGCTGTAGCTAGGACTTTCAGTATTAAGTTGAATAAAAGTGGTAAAAGTGGAAATCCTCGTCTCATTCCTGATCTTAAGGAAAAAACACTTTTAGTTTTTCCCCGCTGAGTGTGATGTTAGCTGCGAGTTTGTCATATATGGCCTTTATTGTTGAAGTATGTTCCATCCATTCCCGCTTTGCTGAGAGTTTTATCATAAATGGATGCGTTTTGTCAAAAAATTTTTCTGCATCTATTGATATGATCAAATGACTTTTATCTTTCAATTTGTTAATGTAGTATATCATGTTAATTGATTGGTGGATATGGGACCAAACTCAAATCCCAGAAATAAATCCCACTTGATCATGGTATACGGTCTTTTTAATATATTCTGAATTTGGTTTGTTAATATTTTGCTGAGGATTTTTACATAAATGTTTATCAGGGATATTGGCCTATACTTTTCTTTTCTTTTCCTTTTTTTTTTTGTAGTGCCTTCATCTGGCTTTGAAATCGGGGTAATAATCACCCGGTAAAATGAAGTTGGGAGCCTTCCATCCGCTTGAATTTTTTGGAATAGTTTGAGAAGGGTAGGCATTAATTCTTCTTTGAATGTTTGGTAAAATTCACCTGTGAAGGCATCCAGTCTAGAACTTTTATTTTGGGAGAGTTATTTTGATTACTAATTTGATTTTGTTAGTAGTAATCAGTCTGTTCAGGTTTTCTGTTTTTCTTGATTCGGTCTTGGAATATTGCATGTTTCTAGGAATTTATTCATTTCTTCCAGATTGTCTTATAATTGTTTATAGTATTTTCTTATAATCCTTTGTATTTCTGTGGAGTCAGTTGTCACTTTTCCTCTTTCATTTCTGATTTTATTTATTTGAGTCCTCCCTCTTTTTTTTCTTGATGAGTGTAGTTAAAGATTTATCAATTTTGTTTATCTTTTCAAAGAACCAGCTTTTGATCTTTATTATTTTCTTTCTTCTACCTACTTCAGGCTTTATTAGCTCTTATTTTTCTGGTTCCTTTAGGTATGAGGTTAGATTGTTTACTTAAGATTTTTCTTTTTTCTTAGGCCTGTATTGCTATGACTTTCCCTCTTTGGACTGCTTTTGCTGTGTAGCAGATTTTTGGGTTATTGTGTTTTGTTTAC